AGAGGTCCTTTTGATTCTGTCTCTAGTACTGCAGACTACATAATAGAGCTCCCTTCCCAGAGGAGAGATTTGTTTTTCTGTGCCTGGAATCAAAGTGACTTCCCAATGATAGATAAAGCCTTTGGTGCGTCATTGCTGTGAAGTTGCTTTTTTTTCTTCTAGCTGCTTTTTTTTGTTTGTTTTGCCAAGACAGGTTTAATTTTATTTTCTTTATCTGTTTTGGGGGAATTCCCAAGTCATTTACTGTTTATTCCATTGTAGCTTTATCTGGCTTACACTTGGTATTGAATCAACCCAAACAAATGTAGGGAGTCTTTAAAAATCAAGGTGGGAAAGCCTGGAGAATGTATAGGGGATATATGTGTATAGATGTTATCGACTTAAGCAGCCTTATAGGAAAACAATGTATTTGGTTTCCTCATCCCTTCATATTCATAGCATGGTTTCTCTTTTTTTCTGCTATGAGTACTTTTTTATTATTTATCCTTCTGGTTTACTTTTTAAAAAATGTTTATTGAAATATAATTTACATACCATGCTATTCACTCATTTGAATTATACAATTCAGTGGTTTTTCATATAATCACAGAGTTGTGCAACCATCACCGTGATAATTTTAGAACATTTGTAACACCACCTACCACCCCAAAAAACCCATAACTATTAGCAGTCACTCCTTATTTCTCCCAATACCCCCTCTTCCCCAAGCCCTAGATAACCACTAATCTAGTTTCTCTAAGTTTGATTGTTCTGGACGTTTCATATAAATGGAATCGTGTATGTAGTCCTTTGTGATTGACTTCTGTCATTTAGCATAAAGTTATCAAGGTTCACCTATGTTGTAACATGTATCTGTGTTTCATTTCTTTTTATTGCTGAATGATATTCCATTGTATGNACCGTGATAATTTTAGAACATTTGTAACACCACCTACCACCCCAAAAAACCCATAACTATTAGCAGTCACTCCTTATTTCTCCCAATACCCCCTCTTCCCCAAGCCCTAGGTAACCACTAATCTAGTTTCTCTAAGTTTGACTGTTCTGGACGTTTCATATAAATGGAATCGTGTATGTAGTCCTTTGTGATTGACTTTCTCATACAATATCTGTCTTTTTATGACTAGCTTATGTCATTTAGCATAAAGTTATCAAGGTTCACCTATGTTGTAACATGTATCTGTGTTTCATTTCTTTTTATTGCTGAATGATATTCCATTGTATGCATATACTGCATTTTTTTTTTAATCCATTCATCAGTTGATGGACGTTTCGGTTCTAGTTTACCTTTGGATCACTTCTCAAAATTAGTTACTAGTTCAAAACTTTAAAATCGTTTTATACTTAACCTTTATGGGTTTTACAGAGGTGCTGATTTTTGGTTTGGGTGTGCTGAGTTTGATATTCCTGTGGTGTAGACAGTAAGCAGTTGACTCTGGAGCTTTGAAGCTGAGAGATAGATCTTGACCAAGACTAACAATTGGCAGTACTGAACACATGGATAGTAACTGAGGCTGTGGGAATAGATAGGATTACCCAGAGGGTGTTTAAAGCAAAGCACAGAAAGAAAGGTCTAGGATGGAGCCCTGAGGAATGACAGTATTATGTCTGATTTGTCTCCCTTTCCCCCAAAAAGGCTTACTTATTCCTGTTTTTATTGAGAGTGTTGTAGCTTGCTCCATGGAAGTTTCCATAATTTGGTAGTACTGTAACATTTGAATGCATTTTCCCTTTGTCAACATAGCAATTGTACTTCTAGAAATTTATCCTACAGATATATAGGTCTCACAAGTAGGTAAAAACTTATGTTCATTGCTTGTATTTTCACATTATCGGTTTAAGAAGGAAAAAAGCCTCCCAAATGTTTAAGACTTTCAATATATATTAATCACTTAATTTTTTTATTATTATTATGAAAAGATTGTATATTTATTACAAAAACAAATCATAAAATACAAAGAAGGATAAAGAAAATAAAGGCTGGCCGATTAGTTCAGTTGGGTAGAGCATGGCGTTATAACACCAAGGTCAAGGGTTCAGATCCCCATACTGGCCAGCTGCCAAAAAAAAAAAAAGATCATTCATAGTCCTACTGTCTACAGATACTCAATACTTATGTTTTGACATTTAGTCTTACAGATATTTTTGTGACTGCATATACTTCAAATGAAAATATGTATTTATATATCTTTTTTTTAACCAAAATATGTAATTATTCAATATAAATAACTCAGTATAAATAATTTAAAACTTCTCTTTAAAGGTAATATACTATGGATGCTTTCTACATAAACAAATGTAGAATAGATGTATATAATTTCTGGTGACTACATCGGTATTGGTTATATGAATGTACCATTATTCAGCCAGTTCCCTCTTTATGGACCACAAGGTAGTTTCCAATTTTTAAAACTCTTACTAATAGTATTATAAATAATCTTACAATAGTATTATAGTGAACGTCCTGTAAATAGATATTTGTGCATGTCAGTGATTATTTCCTTAGAATAATTTCTAGGCATGGAATTGCTATGTGAGTAAATAAGCAGTTTTCCGAAGAGCTTTATTTAAGAATATTTAGAAATAAGGATTTTAAACATTGCCATATGGTGTGTGTTGAAAAAATTTAACTCAGTCTCCTGATGATAAGGTGCAAAATAAAAGACCTTTGTATTACACATGTTTTCCTATGAGACAGAAGGGGGTTAGTTATTGCCTGATGTTCAAAATTTCTGACTGGTCCAAGCATTCTGTTTGTGATAAAGATTTCTCTTAACTGTTAGATATGACAAAATTAGCATGTAACCAATTTTAGTGTTGTCTTTGCAGTGTATGCTGACGGTAGCATATGTTTAGATATCCTTCAGAATCGATGGAGTCCAACATATGATGTATCTTCTATCTTAACATCAATTCAGGTAAATGTGTGTTAAAATGTATCATTATTTTTCAATATTCTGTAGGATACAGCTAGTTTTTTAGGAACAGTCAAAAAGACCAAGTGTGCAAATTAACCTTCCCAGCACCCAGGTAACCAATTGCAGAGTTTGGACAAGAACCCATGATTTTTAACTAACTGGTCTGTTCTTTCATTAGCGACCGCTTGGGACCCAGTCCACAGTCCCTTTCCTGATCATGTGTAAGTTACATGTTCTCACAGGTCAGATTTATTTGAGCCCGTAAAGCATTGTCAGAGGTCATAGAGAAGAACATCTTGTGGAGAAATAAAGATTATTGCTTAGAAAAACCACAGGGATCTTAAATAATTGCTAAGTGCAGAGAAGCATTGAGTATGTTGCCCCATCCAAGAAATCCTGTTTTTAAAAAAGAAAAAGTAGTGTAACTGTTTGCCAAAGCAATCTGAGAGGCTATTTCAGTTGAGCTTGAATAACAGTTTTGGAGGGGTGCAGTGAAGGATGTTTCAGTTACATGGATTTGAGGGACTGGCTGGTTTAGCTCACTTGGTTAAAGTGTGGTGTTGTAACTCTAAGATCAGTTATGTGGATTTGAGAAGAACAGAAATAATATTTTACTTTGTGACCTTCTTTCTAAAGTTTTTTCTATCACACTTCTCCATTAATTCTGGTTATGTTATAAACAGTTTTCAATCTTCCTATTTCATTTCCTCACTGCTAAATGTGTATGTTTTGCTGATTGAAGAAAACAAGATTTACACACACCACAACTTACTATCAGACGTTTGCAAAGTAACCCCAGTAATAGAGTTTAACCCTGGAAAATGTTGATTACTAAAGTATTTACAGGTATTATACTTAACCAAATTAAGCTGTTTATCTACTGGTTAATGAGAAAGTCTCAGTATGCTGAATAATATTGTTCTATTCCAATTTCTTTGAAATTAGAGGTCTTAAGGCAATTGAGAACTATTTGTTTTGGAAGCTTAAGTTCTTTAGCAGCAGGAAACCTCTTACATTTCTGGTATTTAGACCTAAAAATATATGACATACTAATCTCCAAAATAATTTCTGTTTTATGTAACTTTTCTATATTCTATATCTGACCTCTGTTAAAGAATAACTCTGCAAATCTGTTTTGGTTTATTTTTCTCTCTTTCCTTCTAGTCTTTGCTGGATGAACCAAATCCAAACAGTCCAGCTAATAGCCAGGCAGCACAGCTTTATCAGGAAAACAAACGAGAATATGAGAAAAGAGTTTCGGCCATTGTTGAACAAAGCTGGAATGATTCATAATAGACAACTGGTCTGTTAATCTTTTTCATCATTGTTGTGTATAATTTACCTCTCAGTAGAAAGGCTAATAAATTTTAAGTGCCACAGGTTTTAAGGATTCAGCAGAAAAAAAAAAAAATCTCCTTCAGTTTAGAACCCACAGAAGCTTGTGTATCTTGATTAATGTACTTTTTATTGCATGGTATGAACTAAGTTATTGCTGCATAAATTTGTAATATATCCTGTTTGTATTTTTTTCCAAGTGTATAATGTTGGTGTGGAGTTTTCATGACAGAATATACACATTTTGTAAATCTGTACTTTTTTCAAATATTGAATGCCTTATTTTTGAATTCTTTAGATTTTTAAATTGGAGAAAAGCACTTAAAGTTTTTTATATATGAATATTACATGTAAAGCTGTTAAAATACATAACTTCAGTGCAAGAGACTTTGTCACTTATTTCCTTATCTGTAGGAGGGGTTAATAAGTCTCTAGCTCTCCATCAATTGTCAATTGATAGTTTCATTTCCAATTTCAAAAGAACATGTTTATAGTTTATCAAGAAAATCTTCAAGTTTGATTCAAAATACTTAAGTCTCTAGCTCTCCATCAATTGTCAATTGATAGTTTCATTTCCAATTTCAAAAGAACATATTTATAGTTTATCAAGAAAATCTTCAAGTTTGATTCAAAATACTAATAATCTCCAACTTTATTTTGAATGTACCTACATTAGTTTCAATTGAGTAGTTATAGACATAATTGGTTTGATTCTGTCCAACTCTATATTTAGGACACTTGTTATAGTTTCTTCATGCATTACTTACTGTTAAACTGTACCTTTTGCTGTTTCACAATTGGCACCTCTGTCAGAGCAGAGAAGTGGTGCAACTTATTTTGCTGCTTCATAGCACCTTAAAAGATTTTTTGATTAATGAAGAAAGTCAAACCATAAACACTACCAAAATTCCATGCCCCAGTATTAGCAATGAATTGGTTGCATTGGCTTGAGCAAGGCAGATATTTGGAAGGCATTTTGGTGTAATTTAAATATTTGAAACCTACGTTTTAATGCAATCGCACATGCCCCAGTATTAGCAATGAATTGGTTGCATTGGCTTGAGCAAGGCAGATATTTGGAAGGAATTTTGGTGTAATTTAAATATTTGAAACCTACGTTTTAATGCAATCGCATATCTGTTTATTCTGGGAAAATGTTTTAACACCAGGGCCTGCTGAGTTGCTTTCTCTTGTGGAGATTTTTTTTTAATCTCCTAAATTGTATAAAAGTTGTACTGCATCTTAGTTTGCTGGATAAATTTAAAACACAGTATTGTAGAAAGCTAATACAAAGCTATCCTATGCCTTCAAATAGTACAGAAAATGGAAAATACACAAGTAAATTCTGTTGAACCACCCGTGTAGTCTCTCTAGTAGTTAAAACAGCTGTTTTAGTAACCCCAAGAGTTTCTTGTTATATTTATACCACCCTCCTGGGAATAAGCTAACAGTTGCTTCTATATTGGAAGACTGGGTTGCAGGATGCCAGTATCTACACCTTCTAATGATTAAGCAGACTTTAACAGTGGAATGGATAGGTGCTGATGTTTCCCTTTAAAAGTTGTTACTTTGCAAATTTTGGAGTATGTGATCTTAGGGAACTTTGATACAAATGGGAGTTCACTCACTAAAATCATGGCCAAAAAAGAGATGATTTTTTTAAAGGTACTTTATGGTCATATTAAATGTGTGATGCTTTTATGGTTTAGCTCAACAAATTATAGACATTTACTCCAGTGACTTCTAGATTAAATACACAGGAGCTATGAGGGTTTCAAGTATTGATAGATAATTACAAGGGAGTTACATTTTACTTTGCAGGGAGGTCAGTGAGCTCTGACTCGTAAATGCAGCACATGCATAAAACTCATACCTAATCCACATTCCTTTTGGAGAAAATCTTTAGGAGGGTTCTTTCTCTTAGTAACTCCTCACTGTTTTTTCTTTAAACCTTGGAACAGATTCCTATTTCTTTGGTTGTATATCAGATGTAAACCTTCGATTTACAAGGTTATGTCATACAAAAAATGTTTACTTTTAAACTCTAAGTAAATTTTATAAATGTATGGTATGGCAAGAAGCTAGAACTAAGATAAAAGTTGGATTGTTGGATTCACGTTAAAATTTAAATGCATTTGTGATGCAATTCCTCTGTAACAATACCTCTAGCATAGAACAATCTGTGCAAGGCACTATTCTGAGCACTTTAGCATATATTATTTCATTTCAAATGCACAGTAATCCTATGAGCGTAGGTACTATTATAGAAGAGAAAACTAGGCACTGAGAGATGAAGTGACTTGCTCAAAGTCAACCAGCTAGTGAGAAAGTTGGGATTTTAACCCGTAACTGTACTATCCCTTAAGAGATATTAAGGGATTGAGTTTAGTTTTGGAAATTCTACTGAACTTAAATATCCCAATTTGTGGAAATACTTTAGTTAATTTAGAGTTATATACAAACTTGTATCTATCCAGTGAGATTTTCTTGACCACCATTTTCCACCTCTTTTTTTTAATGTAACAAGTCTGGATATAGGCACGCTTTTTGGTCTCTAACATAAAGAACTATGACTTATCAATAAACCACAGTTTTCTCCCTTCCTGGAAATATCCTTGAGTCTATAGTACATAACCCCACTCCCACCCCCAAACATGTTCCATCGATATAAATAACTTCTGGAACTGATGTAAATTCTTACTCATGTAGGTGGAAGGTAGTGGAAAAGAAAGCTATTAGAGGTGCTGTTAGTAATAACAGTCTGTTTTGTGCTCAGTAAACAAAGTACCTGCCTACTTAGCTTATTCATTCAGTACTCTTAAGAGAGAACCCTGGGGCTCATAGCACTGCTAAGAGTTATGTCTAAGATATTTTGATATCTCAATTCTTCCAAGGTTTGGGAGGTAGGGATCAAGTTTTTGGGTCTTGGAGGTATTTATTACATTTCATTCAGCAATGCAAAGTCCCAACGTAATCTCAGTTACATAGGGATTATGTATGTAAATAGAAAAGTCAATAGTTGGAGAGCTATTAAAGATAAAGTTGTCCATAGGACAGAGGCCTAATGCCATGATGGTAGCCCTATAACTTCAATTCCCATCTAGTTAGGGAGAAAATGAGCTTTTATCAGGGGAAAGATTGGTTATCTGTAGTTATTCTAGTATATGAGATATAGAGCAAAGATATTATAAACTAAATTTTATCGTTCAAAGGATTAACTTTTTTTCATCTATTCTTTGAACAAAGAAGAGACCATTAAATATGTGTGCCATTCTTCCTTCAGTAAGTTCTCCCCACATTAATACCACTTTTTAAAACACTTTTGACAGGAATGGCTTAAGGTTTTAATGTTTCCTCTGTTCATAGGATGGGCTAGGGATTTTTTTAGTTGGGCCAAAAATATGAATGAGCTATGACTTACAAACCTTGTTGGATATGTGACTCCCCCTCAGCTTAGCAACATTAGTGCCTTGGTGGTTGAAATCAAGAACCCTGGAAGGACTTTGACTTCCTCTTTGGCATATGGAAGATTCAGACTTGGGTGAGAAACTAGCATATGGAATGACTTTCAGGAACTCTGCCATTTACTGAATGCTAAAGCTTGGCCACACAAAGCTTTTATCTATCAGTGACTTCTGCATTAATATGTTTGGACAGACTCTAATACATTGTGTGCTGGGCTTAGAGAGGGCAAATAACATTTTAGCTGATTAGAGAAAGTCTTTACATGGGGGTGGTCATGGTATAGTATAATGCTTCTTAGTCTTTGTGGGGAGGTTGGCTGATCTGAAGTCTTACCTGAAAGACTGAGATCCATAAAGTGCCAGTGGGTTGGGAACTTGTGTAAGGGAGATCAGATCTGAAAAGATCCTCTCAGGTTCCATCACCCTGAACCATTTAGTTTTTATTCTTCCTGGAATGCAGGTGTTCTGTGGTGTCTTGAAGGCTGCCAAAATGCAAACACAAGAGCACTTAAGGCATACCTTTTAACAGCAAAGGGATGGTTATGTTGCTTCTTGTCTGAAGCCCAAAAGATAGTTGTCCTCTTCCTTTCCCCCTTTACAAATAAGATCTTTTGCCAAGTACACCACAGCCCACCAGCTGATTTGGACTAGCAACACTCCTGAACAAGAGAATGTCAGATAGAGAGGCTTGCAGCTCTTTGGCTTGCTCCTGTATAAAGTCATAATATAAAACTGAGTTGGAAATTTTATGTTTTTTTGTTGATGCTAATACAAAGAAAACAAGGAACAGGAAGCTGCTGCTTACCTACTACATCATTCCAAATCAGGGATACTTTCCACTTCCAGTAGAAAAGATGCTTCTGTTTGGCTTGATAACCACTTGGGGCAGAGAATAAGGAGGAATCCACAGACTCCAGCCCATGTCACCAGCTTCAGCTACAGGTTCCAAAGAAAAGCTAAATTAGTAACCTTGCTGTGTTGCAGTGGGCTTTGGTTATAGGACTGTTCCTGCATGGGCACATAAGGTTGTGGTTTTAGGTGGAGACTTCAGCTACAGGTTCCAAAGAAAAGCTAAATTAGTAACCTTGCTGTGTTGCAGTGGGCTTTGTTTATAGGACTGTTCCTGCATGGGCACATAAGGTTGTGGTTTTAGGTGGAGATTCCCTGGAACATCAGCTGCTAGGTTGCCTTTAGAGTAAGGACAACACCAGGGGTGAGTGCTAGGGATCTTCTGCAAGTCAGCAAGATCAGCAAGGGCAGTACTGGGGCCTGATGGTGGTGAGTTTGAACTTGTCTGTGGGAGAAATTTCCCTCTCTGGCATTTGACAAGAGCTGGGTCTTTTGCACAGAGCAGCTTAGAATAGGCCACGTGGCTCCCTCAAGATCAAGTCAGGGATCAGGCTGTAAGAGTAGCAATATACATACCAAAGATTGGAACTTAAAACCAAAAATTGAAAACTGCTTTCCAGATAGCCTCTGACTATGCCTGTACAGGCCTGGGCAAGAGGCATACAGGACAGCAGAGGACCTCCAGGTTCCAAGCTCTGAGTCCTTTGGGACACTTTAAATAGTTCTGTTTTTTT